GTCCTCTGCCTTTAACCTAAATGGCCGCATCTATCAGTATTGCTTGATATCGGATATAAGCAAAGAGTAAATATCGGATATCCCTAAAAATTCCCCTTCAGGAAATTAGGAAAAAAAAAACCCCCAGAAGAACAGCTGGCAACTGTTAAGTTCTTTTTAAATCCTTTTAAAACACAATTGGTGCTTTCTGAAGGTTAACACTTTTAAACGCAGAAACCATTCCGATTGGTGAACTGTGGTAATTAAATAACTGCTAGCCAACGGTGCCCATTTATATTTAACTCTGATCAGGACCATGTTTTGTGTTTTGTGTTTTGTGCCAGAAAGCGTGTTAATGACGTACAAATACAAGCCATACAAAACAAAAACACAAAGCACCTTGAAATCATTGATGGAAAGCATTAGCTCCGGGAAATGACGCAACTGGAAAAAAAAGAAATGACTGGATTTCAGCAACTGGCTGGGGTGGCGAAGAGCATAATCTAGAAAGGAAAGCAGTAAAAAAGGAAAGAGGAAAGAAGGTAAGGATATACAAGTAAAGTAAAGGATACTTTAAGATGAGGAACAACAAAGGTTTATTTTTTATTTCAATTGTGAAAATCAATACTTGAATAATTTTGTCAATATGGGAGGTCGCACTAGATCAGAGGTCGACAACCCGGGGTTTGAAAAATACGGCGTGTAATACAGGTGTGTGTGTGTCGTCTGTCTGTGGGCTACCCTCGTATGAGACATGCAGACTCCAGTAGTAGATTTTGATGCCCTTTTTTTTTGTCCACCAGAAAGGTAACAAACATAAATCTCCATGTCCACACCTTTTTCGTGGTCCGTGTCCTCTCGCACTGACAACGTAGTGTCTCCCGGCTCTCACCCTCTGTTCCCCTACTAAAAAATACACACCGATTGATTCCCTGCAACTGCTTCTGCAGCAGGTGACTAAGATGCCGCTGTGTCCCCCGCTCCACTCTACTCTACACTGCATGCCAATGAGCATTTAATCAACCCTTTCATGCATGACGGTCACTACAGTGGACAGCTATGAAAATGTCATTTTCTATGATAAGAATAGGTTTTGATGGCAGTGTTGCATATAAGCCTCTACAGTGGATGCCTGAGAATCACCCAACACTGCCATACAGTGGTCAGCCTTTGCAACTGCAGAATAATTGTGTCAACATTCAAAAAGAAAATTGGGTGTATAAAAACAGAACCAAATCAGTTCTTAGTTTTATGTCTAAAAACACATAAAAACACTTAGTAACATTTTTTAACTCAGTATATCATGGGTCATGCATCAAAGGGCTAAAATATGTTTTTATTTTGACGTTAAAGTTTGCGAGACCATCGTTAACGCTTGCAAAAGAACATTTTTTTGTACCCCCCTCGACGTTCAAACTTGCAAAAGTGACGTTAAAAATTGGGGACTCAAATAGACAAGTCTTTTGAATAATTCATAATAATAATAATAATAATTATTCACTCACGGTGTGTTTTCTTTTCTGTGCGAAACGGTGCAAACGGTTCTTTGAGTGGGTAAGGTTGCCGACCCCTGTGCTAGATGGATGCAAGTCATAATACATTAAAAATCAATTTTAGGCAAAAGAATAAAGTGATCATAATTACATTAATAATCGAAGAACCAAACCAGAATAATCTGAAAAAACTGTTTCTTGGCAAAGAATAAATGTGTTGTCAGCTACAGTAAATGGTTACCTGTAAACACTGACGGGTGAGGACAGTTGAGGACCACGAGTTTTGACACCATCTCTGGGTAGTGGATTGCAAAGATCCAGGCAATGGTCCCACCCCAGTCGTGACCCACTAGGCAGCATCTGTTGTAACCTAAAAAAAAAATGCTGAGACATGCTTAAGCTCACTCAGTTGTAGCTGAAATGAAAATAGTAACCAGATACGTTTATAAATGTTTAAGATCAGCAATGTTTTTTGTTTTTTTTTTGCTTTGTGCATGCAAGTGTGGATCAAAGTCAACATAAGCCAGTTGTTGTGCTTGGCAGAGGTGGGACCAAGTCATTGC